AGTAGCTGGGACTACAGGCGCCACCATGCCCAGTGGCTAATATTTTCTATTTTAGTAGAGATGGGGTCTCGCTTTTGATCAGGCTGGTCTTGAACTCCAGGTCTCAAGCAATCCTCTGGCCTCGGCCTCGCAGAGTGCTGGTATTAGGGGCGTGACCCACCACGCCCAGCCTCCATAAGGCCTTTGAATTAAAATCTAAAAGTCTCTCCTGGGCCTTCAAGGCCCTGCGTGGCTGGAACGAAAGAATGCGCCCAGTGGAGGTTGTCTTCCTGGAAGAATGACTCAGAAATATTTCTGCAGCCACCCTTGGACTGCAAAGCACCCGCACCGGCCTCACCCCTGCCGCGGGGGTCTGGGGTCCGCCCTTCGGGCAGGAGGTATATGAACTCGAATGGCGCCAGCCCCTGCGGCATCTCCACCCAGTAGTACTAAGACACTTGTTTCACTTTGTTTATTTTCAAATGTTTTTAGGGGCAGGGGCTCACTCTGTCCCTCAGGCTAGAGTGCAGTGGCGCCATCATAGCTCACTATAACCTTGAACGTGCCAGAGATGAGTCTTCTACCGCGATTCACCGATCGTGGACATTTTCCACGTTTGCTCTGTTCTTCTTTCTCTGGGACACTTTCAAGTACGTTGTAGTTGTCATATGACATCGTCCTGGCGCTTTGCTCTTCCAGCAGCATGCCAAGAAGTGACAGTCTACCTGACATAAGCGCAGTACCATTAACAGTCTCAAGGATCTTACACAATATTGTCATCTCATGAATGTACACTCCTCGGACACGAGGGCAATCTGGCTGCAGCATCCGTCACGCCACTGATGGCCGGGGTTGATCCGGCTGATCTGGCTGGCCAGGCGGGTGTCCCCTTCCTCCCTCACCGCTTCACGTGCGTCCCTCCCGAAGTTGCGAGCTCGCTGGGCGACAGAGGATGGCCTTCCCGGATAGCGGAAGACCGTTCTTCGGTCAAGGGTACACGAGTACCTGCGATCCGCTGCTAGAACCTCCAAACGAGCTATCGCATATATACTCCGTATTCGAACTCCCCTAATGTCTCCACACATTTTTAACTGCAGTAAAATAGACATAACTAAGTTAACCGTCTTCGCCGTGTTTAAGTGCACAGCTTAGGCACGCATTGCTGCGCAACCGTCGCCACCCGCCACCTCCAGAACTTTCTCGTCTTCCCAAACCGAAACTCCGTCCCCACGAAACACTCACTCCCCACCCCCTCCCCAGCCCCTGGCACCCACCACTCTACTTCCTGTCTCTGTGGATCTGCCTGTCCTGGACATTTCAGATAAATGGAGTCTCACACTGTGTGACACGCTGACAGCACCGCTGCCCACGACTGTCCGTTCTCCACGCGGCAGCCAGAGAGAGAGCTTTTCAGAATGCTGTTGCCATCACCGCACCCTTGTGTTATAACAACTCTTCAGGGTCTCCTTAGGGGTGTCCACTGGCCCCAGGGTTGCTGTAGCCACACTGGCCTCCTTTCAATCCCATGTTGTTGCCCTGCTCCGTCCACTGCCAGGTCTTCGCACAGGCTGTTCCCTCTGCCTGGCATGCCCTTCCCTCCCTTCTGTCTGGTCGACTCCCTGAATCCAC